GGGCCTTCTGGACCTGCTCGGCCGCTGCCGCCCACGCAACCTTCGCCCGCTCGAAGGTCTTGCGCCGGCTTCCCTGCCGCCAGAGCGCGCGCTGCAGCTGGGACTGCGGCGTGGACACCGCCTTGGCGGGCTCGGCGGCCAGGGAGGGCTGCGGCAGCCTGGCTTGCTGCTCAGTCGTGAGCTCGATGCCGAAGCCGCGCAGGCACCCGAGGAGCTTCGCGTCGTCGCCGGCGGGGCCTGGGGCGTCGGCAGCGGAGGCGAGTTCTGTCGCCCCGCCACACACGGTGGCCGCGACCCTGCCGCCGCCCCTCCCCCTTGCCGCGGATGTTCCAGGGCGCGGGACCTCGGCGCGGGCGGCGCGCTGGTCTTCCAGGGCGCGCTGCCGCACAGCCACAGGAGCAGCTCGGCCGCAACCACGGCAGTGGCTGCGGCGAGCCCTATTGGTCGCCTCCCCGCGCGCGCAGCCCCAGAAGGGCTCGCGCGGGCTCATGGGCGTAGCCTCAGCCGCGGCTGCGTGCCAGGGCGGGGAGGGTCCCAGGCAGCCGCTGGCTTCCGCCGCCGCCGCCGCCGCCGCCGCCCACTCGTCCTTTGCTGCTCCAACTGGGCGGCTGCCCACGGTGGCGACCATCGGGCATGGCTGGCGTAGGTGACTCGTTGTTGTGGGAGCCCGCGGGCCCAGAAAGCTGATGAGGTCGCGAACCTCCGGCCACAGTGTCAAGTAGCCAGTGGGGACTGGGTGGGGCCAGCCGCTCGACCAAACACCCCTCTCGCCCCACTGCTTCTTGAGCCAAAATGGCTACGGACGAAAAGGAGGTGGACAAGGAGGAGGAGGAGGAGGAGGAGGAGGAGAATGGACGAGGACATAAGGATGGAGGAGGGTGAGGAGGAGGAGGATAGAGGATAATCCGCCGGCCCCCTTGTGGGGCCACCAGGCTGCGAGGCACGGGTTCGCAGTTTCCAGTACCAGTTGTAGCTTGTAGTTTCCAGTGTTACAGTTCTGCTTCTTGCTGGTTACTGTAACTAGTTGATTGACCGCGCGAGGGGGGGGGAGGCCCAAGCGGATTTTTAGCGTCCCCTGGGCGCGTTGTCTGAATTGCTGGGGGGGCTCGAAATCGACACCCCTCACGCAGATCCGCGGGGTCAGGGTCCAAAAACACAGGGGATTTGCCACATTTCTGAAATTCGGTGCCACCCCTCACGCAGATCCGCGGGGTCAGGGTCCAAAAACACATGGGATTTGCCACATGTCTGAAATTCGGTGCCACCCCTCACGCAGATCCGCGGGGTCAGGGTCCAAAAACACAAGGGATTTGCCACATTTCTGAAATTCGGTGCCACCCCTCACGCAGATCCGCGGGGTCAGGGTCCAAAAACACAAGGGATTTGCCACATTTCTGAAATTCGGTGCCACCCCTCACGCAGATCCGCGGGGTCAGGGTCCAAAAACACAGGGATTTGCCACATTTCTGAAATTCGGTGCCACCCCTCACGCAGATCCGCGGGGTCAGGGTCCAAAAACACAGGGATTTGCCACATTTCTGAAATTCGGTGCCACCCCTCACGCAGATCCGCGGGGTCAGGGTCCAAAAACCAGGGGATTTGCCACATTTCTGAAATTCGGTGCCACCCCTCACGCACATCCATCGCAAGGCGTGGTAACCCAAACTGCGAGTACTCCCTCGGCCCTTTACTCCCAAGGTGTGGTAACCAAGCTCGTAAACCATACACGTCTTACCAATCGCCCTGTGTGGTAACCCCTCTTGTGATCAGTTGGTTTTGCCGATTGCGAATCGGCCTCGCATGAAGTTCCGATACTGCTGCACGACAGCGCCAAAGCCTCATGACTTAGCTCTTCCATGGCCCATTCTCCGAGAGAGGGGGCCGGCGGCAGGGGGCGAAGCCCTTACGGATATGGAAGAGGAGGATGGAGGAGGAGGAGGAGGAGGAGGAGGAGGAGGAGGAGGAGGAGGCGAGGCGTTCCTGCACGGCCATGGCGGCGAGGCCCTTGCTGATGCCGTCGTCCTGCTGCCACTTGGCCATCAGCTGCTGCACGCGATTCTGCGGCGCCGCGGCGGAGTGCCTCATCCACGACTTCGTCGAGATCGTCTTCGCCGACGGCGTCGTTGACGTCGACGTCGTCGACGTCGTTGACGTTGTTCGTCGCTGGCTTTTGATCGTCGTCGGCGCTGCTCGATGTCGACGCCGTGACGCTTTTCGCCGTTCGTCGACATCGCTGTCGCTGTCGCTGTCGTCTTCGTCGTCATCGTGGACGTGGACGCTCCTGGACATTGTTCGTCGTCATCGTCGCCGTCGCCGACGCCGTCGCCGCCGCTCCCTCTGCGCAAGAGAAGAATTCGGTGCCCCAGGAGACTGGGAGAAGGAGAAAGAGAAGGCTCATATCTCCTGCTCCTCTTCCTCTGTCCCCTCCCCCTCGTCTTCCTCCTCCTCCTCCTCCTTCTTCTCCTCCTCCTCCTCCTCCTCCTCCTCCTCCCCCTCCTCCTCATCAGCATCAACACCGTCATCACCATCATCACTATCACATCACCATCATCACCATCATCACCATCATCACCATCATCGCCATCAGCATCATCATCATCATCCACATCATCATCATCATCATCATCATCATCATCATCATCATCATCATCATCATCATCATCATCATCAACATCATGATCCTCCTCATCATCATCATCATCATCATCATCATCACCACCATCATCATCATCATCATCATCATCATCATCATCATCATCATCGTCATCTTCAGCAGCAGCATGAGCATCATCATCGGCATCAACAACAACGACAACAACATTACTCACTGCGTGGAGCTCCCCATATGTGCGTCTCATGTTTTATCTTATGCCGTAGTGGGCGTCTGTTCATGAGTGTCTGACTATAAGAGCGCGCCCAAAGACAAGTGAATCCTCATGCCAGCGAGTGAGTCCGAGTCATAATGAGGAGTATGATTCAATATGAGCCTCTCCTCCTCACTCCCAGTGGCCGCGAGCGAGAGCACACAGCCGACGTGACACGGCGCTGAAGGCGAGGTGCTGTTTAGGAAAAAAAACAGAAGACCCCCCGCCCCCTATCCCCCTCTGCGACCTGAATGCACCATGCAGGCCTGCAGAGGGCGTCATAGGGGCGCGGGCTACATATAGCTATCAGCCTCGCGACCAGTGTAGAGCGCTACCGATTGCGGCGTTGCGCCGCTTTGGGGGCTGCCCGATCGCCCTCCCGGGCTGGAGCACCCCCTCCAGACGGACGAACGGACGAACAGACAGACAGACGAGACAAGACCGCACTCCCAAAAGGAGCACCGGAGCGTGAGAAAACCGCCCGCCCCACCAGAGCGCGAGGGCACGTGCCGGAGCGGATGCTGAAACCAGCGCCCCGCCTGAGACATCCTCACAATCTGCTCTCCAAGTGAAGGATGTTGAGCATGAAAACATACAAACCGCCTGAGACATCCCAACAAAATGGCCGCGAACGGGCCCGTGAAAACACCCCTGGCGGCTCCCCTAAGGGGTGCTGAAACCAGCGCCCCGCCTGAGACATCCTCAAAACCTCTTCTGAAAACCAAGGATGTTGACCATGAAAACGAGCAAACCGCCTGAGACATCCCCACAAAATGGCCGCGAACGGGCCCGTGTAAACACCCCTGGCGGTTCCCCTTAGGAATGCTGAAACCAGCGCCCCGCCTGAGACATCCTCACAATCTGCTCTCCAAGTGAAGGATGTTGAGCATGAAAACATGCAAACCGCCTGAGACATCCCAACAAAATGGCCGCGAACGGGCCCGTGAAAACACCCCTGGCGGCTCCCCTAAGGGGTGCTGAAACCAGCTGCCCGCCTGAGACATCCTCAAAACCTCTTCTGAAAACCAAGGATGTTGAGCATGAAAACGAACAAACCGCCTGAGACATCCCCACAAACTGGCCGCGAACGGGCCACTGCAAACACCCCTGGCGGCTCCCCTTAGGGGTGCTGAAACCAGAGCAGAGCACCCGCCTGAGACATCCTCGAAATCTAATTTGAAAGCCAAGGATGTTGGGCATGAAAACGAGCAAACCGCCTGAGACATCCCCACAAACTGACCGCGAACGGGCCCGTGTCCTACCCCCTGGCGGCTCCTTTCACGGGTGCTGAAACCAGCGCCACGCCTGCGACATCCTCAAAGCATCTTATGAAAACCAAGGATGTTGAGCATGAAAACGAGCAAACCGCCTGAGACATCCCCACAAAATGGCCGCGAACGGGCCCGTGAAAGCACCCTTGGCGGCTCCCCTTAGGGGTGCTGAAACCAGCGCCCCGCCTGAGACATCCTCAAAATCTCCATGAAAACCAAGGATGTTGAGCATGAAGTCCAGCAAACCGCCTGAGACATCCCTACAAACTGGCCGCGAACGAGACAATGCAAACACCCCTGGCGGCTCCCCGTAGGGGTGCTGAAACCAGCGCCCCGCCTCAGACATCCTCACAATCTGCTCTCCAAGCGAAGGATGTTGAGCATGAAAACCAGCAAACCGCTTCAGAAATCCTCACAAAATGGCCGCGAACGGGCCCGGGCAAACACCCCTGGCGGCTCCCCATTAGGGGTGCTGGAACCAGCGCCCCGCCTGAGACATCCTCCAAATCTGATGTGTGTTGAGTAAGTCAAACTAAGAGAAGGTCTGAGTATGAGTATGTATGTGTATGAGTAAGTCTGGGTATGAGTAAGTCTGAGTATGATAAAGTCTGTGTATGAGAGAGTTGGTGTATGAGTAAGTTTGGGTATGGATAAGTCTGAGTATGAGTGAGTCCGAGTAGGAGGAGACGAGAAGAGGAGGGCACGAGAAGAAGGAGGAGGAGGCGCCCAAATAATAATTGTTCGCTGCGTGGAGCTCCCCATATGTGTGTCTCATGATTTACGTCATGCCATAATGAGCGTTTGTTCATGAGCGTTTGACTATGATAGCGCGTCCACATGGGACACAGGATGTTGGGCATGAAAACAAACAAACCGCCTGAGACATCCCCACAAACTGGCCGCGAACGGGCCCGTGTCCTACCCCCTGGCGGCTCCCCGTAGGGGTGCTGACACCCGCGCCCCGCCTCAGACATCCTCACAATCTGCTCTCCAAGTGAAGGATGTTGAGCATGACAACAAACAAACCGCCTGAGACATCCCCACAAACTGGCCGCGAACGGGCCACTGCAAACACCCCTGGCGGCTCCCCTTAGGGGTGCTGAAACCAGCGCCCCGCCTCAGACATCCCCACACTCTGCTCTGAAAGCCAAGGATGTTGGGCATGAAAACGAACAAACCGCTTGAGACATCCCCACAAACTGGCCGCGAACGGGCCCGTGAAAACACCACTGGCGGCGCCCCTCAGGGGTGCGGAAACCAGCGCCCCGCCTGAGACATCCTCGAAATCCAATTTGAAAGCCAAGGATGTTGGGCATGAAAGCGAGCAAACCGCCTGAGACATCCCCACAAACTGGCCGCGAACGGGCCCGTGTCCTACCCCCTGGCGGCTCCTTTTCAAGGTGCTGAAACCAGCGCCCCGCCTGAGACATCCTCAAAATCCCCATGAAAACCAAAGATGTTGAGCATGAAAAAAAGCAAACCGCCTGAGACATCCCCACAACATGGCCGCGAACGGGCCCGTGCAAACACCACTGGCGGCTCCCCTTAGGGGTGCTGAAACCAGCACCCCGCCTCAGACATCCTCACAATCTGCTCCGAAAGCAGAAGATGTCGAGCATGAAGTCCAGCAAACCGCCTGAGACATTCCTACAAACTGGCCGCGAACGGGCCACTGCAAACACCCCTGGCGGCTCCCCTTAGGGGTGCTGAAACCAGCGCCCCGCCTCAGACATCCTCACAATCTGCTCTTCAAGCGAAAGATGTTGAGCATAAAAACAGGCAAACCGCTTGAGACATCCCCACAAAATGGCCGCGAACGGGCCCGGGCAAACACCCCTGGCGGCTCCCCTTAGGGGTGCTGAAACCAGCGCCCCGCCTGAGACATCCTCCAAATCTGATGTGTGTTGAGTAAGTCAGACTAAGAGAAGGTCTGAGTATGCGTAGGTCTGAGTATGAGTATAAGTATGTGTATGAGTACGTCTGGGTATGAGTAAGTCTCAGAATGAGCAAGTCCGTGTATGAAAAAGTCTGTGTATGAGTAAGTATGGGTATGAGTAAGTCTGAGTATGAGTGAGTCCACGTAGGAGGAGACGAGAAGAGGAGGGAACGACAAGAGGAAGGCGGAGGAGGAGGAGTAGCAGGCGTCCAAGTAATAACAAGAACACCAACCTAGGATAGCGAGACTGAGTATGAGTCAGTCTAAATATGCCTTGGTCTGAATATAAATAAATATGATCATGAGAAAGTCTGAGTATGAGTAAGTCTGAGTATGAGTAAGTCTGAGTATGAGTAAGTCTGAGTATGACTAGGTCTGAATATAAATGAGTCCGGGGAAGAGAGGAAGGAGGAGGGAGGAGAGGAGGGGTTCTGGTTCTGATTGGAGTCGGCGCCATCCAAATAATAACAAGAAGCCTAAAATCGGGTTATTGTTATTACTTGGACGGCGCCGACTCCAACCGGAACCAGAACCCCTCCTCCCCTCCCTTCTCCTCCTTCCCCTCTTCTTCCTCAAACTTACTCATGCAGACTTACTTTTACTCAGATTCATTTATACTCAGACCTAATCATACTCATACTCAGACTTTCTCATAATCATATTCATTTATACTCAGACCAAGCCATACTCAGACTGATTCATACTCAGTCTCGCTATCCTAAGATGGGGTTTGTGTTATTACTTGGGTGCCTCCTACTCCTCCTCCTCATCCTTCCTCTTCTCGTTCCCTCCTCTTCTCGTCTCCCCCTACCCGGAGTCACTCATACTCAGACTTACACATACTCAGACTTATTCATACACAGACTTTCTCATACACAGACTTACTCATACTCAGACTTACCCATACCCAGACGTACTAATACACACACTTACTCAGCACACATCAGATTCGGAGGATGTCTCAGGCGGGGCGCAAGTTTCAGCACC